AAAAAAAAAAAAAAAAAGATGGGCTAAAAGGATGGCCAATATTTTGGCCCTAGCCCTTCAGGGTTAGTGAGTACTCAGGACCTCTCAAGAGAACCTCTACTATGACATCCTATAACTCAGCTGTGTCCCAAATTTTCTGATCAAGGAGATTATGGGGCCACAAAGGAAAGTGATTGATGATGTATAGTGTACCTAAAGAATCACCTAGAGAAAAAAATCTCTCAGGCTCTCACAGAGAGCAAACTGGTCAAGCAATGGCCATGACTCGTCCAGATGGCTGATACTGACAAAAGATCTGCAAAGTGCTATACATAGATCCAAGATAAATCCTGAGATTTGGCTGACCTTATCATCTAGTAAAATTTACATTTGTAGTTATACAGGTCTTGCTTTAACTTGGCCTTAACCATCCAGCAAAAAGGTATAACCATGCAGTATAAGAAGTAATGCCATATTAATATGCTAAGCTATAAAAGGCTCAAGTCAACTACTGACAATTACCACCTGTGCTGATAACTTACAATTATGGACTATTAGACTATATAGGGTTATATTTATATTGCTAAATTCCAGTACCTACAGTTTTTAAGACATCAAGTATGAAAAGATCCTTTAAAGACTCCAAATACAGATTCTCTAAGTACAACAAAACACCCATCTCTGACAAAACAACACACAAAAAGGAGATATACTGGGAGTTGCAGGAAGCTAGAAAATTGATCGGATATATATAGGTGGGCCTGGGCCTCATGTCTAAAGCAAACAAGCTACCTCAGTCCTAAGGAAAACATCGTGTCTGGTTCAAGTCAACTATTAATCACAACCTTGTGTCATGCATTACTAACTTTGCAAAAGTATATATAAAGGATCATGTTGTTGTGCGGTTGAGTAAGTCTTGCCCATCAGGCAGACGAGCAACCACCTTGTCTTCTTGTCTATCTTTCTCATTCCTGCCACTGTGTCTCCCTGGGTAGAAGCAACTGCAGTGAGACTAACAGAACCCTATAGCATTCAATCCCCTGTAACTTTAAAAAAAAAAAAAAAAAAAAGACCAGTAGGAGATTTGCTTAGAAGCACAGTGCCTGGCAAACACAAGGTCTTGAGTTTGATTCCCAGTACCAAAATAAATAAAGACAAAAATAAATAAA